AGGTGGACAACAAAATGTGAAGAAATCCTTGGGATCACCAGTCATTAAAGAATTGCAAATCTAAACACAAGGAGATACCACCTCATGCTAGCATTAAGTTAAGAAAACAAAATAATAAATGCTGGTGAAGTTGCAGAGAAATTAAAATCTTCATACATTGCTGATGCCAGGTGCGGAGTCAGTTCCGATCCATAGCAACCCTATGCTCAACACAATCCAGAAGAGGAAACAATGGCATTACTTTAGGGGTCATTCTAGTATACACAATGTTGTATTCTTTTCCTCTCCTTCTGACAACAATGGCAGCATACTCTACACACAGATATATGAGGGGTGCACACACACACACACACACACACACACATACATGCACACAAACTGGGAAAGAGCTCCGCTAGGCGTTCGTAGAAAGCATTTTTTTCTTCAAGGCAAGCACTGAGTGACTCATTCTGAATTAGTGCACTCAGTAGTGTCACCTGGGAAGGTTCTCTCGTCACATTGAATTTTTTTGTAAAAGCAGTTTCACTCAAACTTCGTTTTTTTGATGGTGGATTTAAGAGAACAGTGTGCAGCTGTGAAATTTTGTTTCACTTGGGGGTGGGAGGAATGCCACAGAAACTTGTTATGTTGATCACAGCTTACAAGGACAGGGCTATGGGAGAAACTCAAGTGTATGAGTGCTTTTCTCATTTCAAAATAGGTGAAATGTTGATTATTGACAAACCTTGTTCTAGACATCCAACAACTTCCTGAACAGATGAAAATGTTGACTTGTAGTGCATTTGGAGTTCATTCCACCAGGTCAGACTATTAATCAAGCTTTTTATTTAGAGGTTCTGAAAAGATAGCGTAACAGTGTGCAATAAAAAAGGCCTGATCTGTGGCAGATGGGGGACCAGTTTTTCCACCGGGTCAATGCACCTGCTTACGCAGCCATCTCAGTACACCAGTTTTTGGCAAAAAAACCCCAGCATGCTTATTTTGCCCCACACACCTTACTCACCTGACCTTGATCCATACGACTTCTTTTCGTTTCCATGAATAAAGAGGGACATGAAAAGACAATGATTTGATCACATAGAAGAGGTGAAGAAAAAAACGAGGGAGGTGCTGTCATCCATACAAACAGATGAGTTTGAAAAATATTTCCAAGAATGGAATTGTAGATTTGACAAAGGTATTAAGTGTAATGGAGAGTATTTTGAAGGTGATAGGTTGTTTTGTAAAAAAAAAAGTAAATGCATAGCTTTGAAGAAAAAAATCCAGGGTTTTTGAGTACCCCTTCATATACCATGTAAAGTCAGATTTCAATCCTTGCCTGGCATCAAAGACAGTGTTTTTTGTTTCTTGTTTTTTTCATTTCTTCGTTTACACTCTTACCTTTATTTCCTGCATCCTCTATGATTTGATATACTAGTTTTTCCTGGTTATCTGATCCTTTCATTTTACTGCAAAGAAATAAAGTGATTTAAAAAAAAGGCAAAAGGATAATCTATTAATATACATCACTACTCAAATTTAATTAGCTGACAATGTCATCTAGCTATCTTATTTACCAAAACAATTATTTACCTTAGAAAGAACGAGACAGTTCTGTATGTACCAATATGAAAAGATGTCCAAGATATAGTAAGTTAAAAAAAAAACCAAGTGTAAAACCGTAAGGAAGGATAGTAAGATCCCATTATTGTTAACAGCAACAACAAAAGTGATAATATATCAGATATAAATATGCAATCACCTATTCAGAAAACTCGAAGAAAGGATACATACCAAATTATGAAGAGTGGTTACTTACCTCTGGGAAATGGAAGCCATAAAAAGGAGCATTGGTGATGATAGGACAGTTTACATCATGCAATTTTGTACTGGCTACTCTACCAATGCATATGTCACTTTTGTTATACTTAAAATTTACAAACAAAAAAAAAATCAGGGCTTACCCGGCATTCTGAGAATCCTTTATTCTATACAGAAGGCCTGTATTGCTCCTTAAGAGATCCAACTGACCCTAAGGTTGTTTTTTAGAGAAAATAGCAGTTAATGATTTTGAAGGATCAAATGCTAATGCATACCTTATTATTTTTATCATAGAATAAACATATTTTACTCCAATTATTTGTCAACTCACAAGATTCATCTATAGGCTAAATACACATAGCTAGCTGATAGAGTTGCTGAGATTGTAAGTCTTTACAGGAGGAGACAGTCTCACCTTTGTCTTCCAGAGGACCTGATACGGTTGAACAATACCCCTGTGGTTAGCAATCCCATGCCTAACCCACAGCACCACCAATCAAAATCCAAACCCACTATCCTTTTCTAGAGCATGATTATATTAAACCTACAAAGTGAATGGTGACATCTTATCACATGTGCAATTTCTGTGTAACATGAAAATCAGGTAATAAAGTCAACTGATGAATAAAGGGCCAGTAGTAGTTATTGTTTTTTATATAAGTAAAGTAAAATAAAGCATCTTTTGACATGTTTCTAAATTCCTTGTCTCAGTTTAGTAGTACACAGATGGCTATACAATTAGGTCATGATAGTTCTGGGAAGCCATACAATTCAATAACTCAATTACATCAAGAAGTTGTACAATTATCACCACATTTAATTCTAGAACATTTTCTTCTTCTTTGTATTCCTTGTTATTTATGTAATTAAACATACACAAGAAAGCATTCTTCAATTCCATAACTTCTACATGTATAATTGAGTGCCATTGATTATACTTATACTCTTCGTGTTGTGCACCCATTGATAACCTTTTTCAAATTGTTCCACTACCATCAAAATAAACTCAATGTCCCAAAGCAAAAACTCTTCCTTCTTCACTCTTGGTTTCTTGTTTTTGTTTTTTATGTAGTTTTCTTTTTAAATTTTATTTATTTTTGGTTAAACATTTTATTGGGGGGCTCTTACAAATCTTATAACAATCCATCGTTCAACTGTATTAAGTAAACTTGTACATAGGTTGCCATCAACATTTGAGTAGTTTTCTTGATATAGTATTCACATATCATACACTTCCATGGTTAAATTGCTTTTAAAAATCATTATGTATACATCAACACAGTCAGTTCTTGTTTGTTCCCCAGATCCCCCTCCCATCCCCAATAAACCATTGCATCATTATTGTCTCCATGTTTCCACTCCTGTGCTTCACAAACTGGGGAGTCCAACAGAAACCATAATGATAAAAAAGGCAAGCAGAAAATAATGATGATAATATGAAGATAAAAATACAAATAATGACTAAGAAAGAAAAGACCACTATCAGTATTTTAAAACTGTCATGGAACAAGTGAGAAATACTCGAGCCTAGAGAAAATTAAGATTGGGTCAAGAGGGAGGTCAACTGACCAAGCATGTTACACCAAGCTTGATCCACCATAATCACGTTTCCGAGAGTCTGTCTGATAGTAAAGCTCTTCAAGTCCTTTGCCGTGCCTCAATACTCTGCAGATGGGTTTTGGGCTCTCACTGTCCGCCACAGCCTTCTATAAACTGAGTGTTCACAATTTAAGCTCTTACTTTTCCCTTCATCACATTTGAATTTTGTTATCATCTTTGGATCACACAAGCTGGTGTGCTTCTTCCATGTGGCCTTAGTTGATGCCTCATTGAGATGGCTGCTTGCTTAATTATTCCTCTTACAGATCTATTGTTTGGCTGAAAATTCCAGACTGAAGGATTTCTAAGGGTATTTAAGATGTCTAAGTCTCAGTGGTTCCACTAGTTTTGATCCAAGTGGCAAGGGTGGTCCCTTTTATGTTTTGTTTCACATTTTCTTCCCACTCTACCCAGGAACTTTTAATGTGACCCTTTTCAGAGCAGTTGGTACTAGTAACTGGGCATCATATATTTCTTCTGGTCTCAGGTGGTAGAGACTGATGTTTGCACGGTCCATTAGTCCATTCCACTAACTGTTCCCATGGATCTTTTTTTAATCATTCTTCTTTCCTTCACACAAGGAGAGACTTTAGATGGTCACTCTTGAGCTTTTAAGACCCCTGTCACTACTTATCAAAGTAGGATGTAGTGCACTGTCTTGTGCACTAAGTTATGCCAATTTGACTTTGGTGTCTCCAAGACCATGGTCCAGAGCTCCAAGGCCTGGTGACGCATTCTCTAAAGATGTTTAATTATATCTAAGAAGTTTTCATAACTTCCCCCACTGTCTATGTCACCACATTCATGGATATATTTAAAGCAAAGGTAAATATCCATGTATAAAATATCCTAGGTCGAACCTGTGTACATTTGTGGGTATATTACCTCTCTTTCTCCCACAACTGATCAGTCTGCATATCTATCCATATAGCTACTTGTAGATCCCACAACTGATCAGTCTGCATATCTATCCATATAACTACTTGTAGATCACTGTGAAACGTAACTTGACGCAGAAGAGGCTAGCAAGGAAGATAGGAACTTGTGTGGTTAACCGCGTGGTTTGGACTTGACTCTCTGGTGCTGAAGGATTTTAGATGGGAGGGTGACTTGGTCAGATCTGCACTTGAGACAGACGAAGCTGGCTGCTCTGCGGTATGTGGAGCAAGGGAGAAGTTAGAACGCCATGGTAACAGAACAGGTAAGAGTCAAGTCTGAATCCATGAAGGGGAGTAGAAATGGAAAATAGGAGGAAATTTTGAGAACTAGTAAAGAGCTAAAGTCAGCCAAAATTTACTTGGTGTTGTATAAGTAATCATTCAGTTTCTTAAAGTCCACTGCCTACATTTTCTAGCCAATATACTGGCAATGGTGGGGGCTACAGAGATGGAGAAAGATGGAAGGGCTAAAGGTCATTCTTAGTCAGAAAGGAAAGAACTAAGAGGGTGATCCGAAGACAAAAAAGGGACATTTCACACCGCCACAACAACAACGAAAAATCCAGGATTTTTTTTTCCGGTTCTTGAGCTGTACACATCCATGATGAATTGATTAGAAACTTCAACACTTCTTTTCCCTTGGGCTATAACTTCCAAAGTTTTATTGGAATACCACCATATTCAATTGCTTATCCATGGCTACTTTCTTACTAAAATCATAGAGTTTGGTAGCTGTGGCAGAAACCACATCTGTCCAGCAAATTCTAAATACTTAGTACCCAGTACTTTACAGAATAGATTTGTCAACCTTCAATCTAGAAGGTGAAGGGAGTGATTTAAAAGATGAGTCACTGTTGGCATCTCTGGACCTCTTAGAAATTCAACTGGTATGTTCTCAGAAAATGGGAGCTTTGATGACGGGGAAAAGGGATAGGAAGAATTAAAATACTGGGTACCAGTGGGTGGAGTGACTTTAAACTGTTAGGGGAGAATGACATCAGGGTGTCAGGAGCGGTTCTCAACCTGTGGGTCGTGACCCCTTTGGGGTCAAACGACCCTTTCACAGGGGTCACCCAATTAATAACAGTAGCAAAACTATAGTTATGAAGTAGCAACGAAAATAATTTATGGTTGGGGGTCACCACAACATGAGAACTGGGTCGTGGCATGAGGAAGGTTGAGAACTACTGCTCTAAAGGAATATAGAAAAAGAGTTAAGAGTTGGGAAGAAAAGAGGTTCATAGAAACACACCCTGTTACTTCCTCACACTGAGTCTACACGTCTCGCTAAAGGCTCAAGACCGCTGACATTTGACATAACCCCTGAAAAGCCTAGGTAAGATTTTAAAAGGTGGGACCCTAAAGCACTGGTTATGTGAATGCCAGAGGAAACGACCCAACAATAGGAGTATGTAAGAAACAGATGGTGAGCTAGGATTACGCTTATATGTCCTTATATACTTCAGGGACAATTTAGTTTACACATACAAGTTATAACAAAATACGGTTTAATTTTATTCCTCTTATAAAACAATCTAAAATTATTTGTTCTTCCATCAATTTAGGTAGCCCTGGTGGCAGAGTGGGTTATGAGTTGAGCTGCTAGCAGAGAGTCCAGCGTTCAAAACCACCAGCTGTTCTTCAGGAGAGAGAGGAGTCTTTCTGCTCCCTTAGAAACCCACGTGGGCACTTCTGCTCTGTCCTGTAGGGTTGCTATGAGTCAGAATTGACTGGATGGCAGTGAGTTTGTGTTTTCGGTGATATTTCCTGGTGGTGAAAGTTATGCATTGGGCTGTAAACCCCAAGCAGCACCAGTGATTTGAATCTACTAGTTGCTCTGCGAGAGAAAGATGAAGTGTCTGCCCCCATAAAGAACTGCTGCTTTGGAAATCCTAGGAAGCAGTTATACTCTGTCCTACAGCGTCACTACGAGTTAGAATGAACTCAGTGGCGGTGGGTTGGGTTTGGCTTTGGTGCTGTTTTCTAGCTTGCATTTTATCAGTTACAAGCTAACATGTTTGCTGATTTTATTGCTACGTAACAGGAAGTGATGACAATCATGACATGTAAGTAATTATGTGATAAAATGATGTCATCTTACCATGGACAGTAGTCTATTGATGGCCACTGCCCGCTGCTGGGCTTCTATATGAGGCATTTCATTCTGAATTACTTGGTCTGTGATCCCATGAGGGAATTGGTGACATAATTCTATAATCCTAGGAAGAAAAACATTAATGATAGTACCCATGGTCACCTGTTCCAAGAAGCAGTAAGGGAAAATACAAGCTATTAAAATTGCCACCTACCCCCAATTTTGGCATATAATCTGTTTTTATAATTCTAAATCAAACCATACAGAAACCGAGAACTCTATTTTCTAAATACCAAGCAAATGCCCTGCCCTTGAGTCAATTCTGACTCATAGTACCCCTACAGGACAGAGTAGAATTAACTACTCCAGTCGATTTCCAAGATTGTTAACTCTGTATGGGATTAGAAAGTCTGATTTTTCTTCCATGAATTGGTAGGTGGTTTCTAAATACACATGCACATTAATGACTTTTTAAGGGAACCATTCTTTCCTCCACTCATTGCAACTTTAAATTATAACTAAAATAAAATCACTAAAAAAAGAGCCAAGTCTTCAATTTCCTCAGATGGAATGCCTGCGACAAAATTAAGTTCTATTGCACCAGATAGTCTTTTTTTTTTTTTTTCACCAGATAGTCTTTTTTTTTTCTTTTCAGATAGTCTTTAGGCAGAGGTCACTTTAGGCACTTCTAGTGGAAAGTTAAAATCTGCATTGGCAGTGTATCATAACTATAGCTTACTTTTGGAATAACCCCTATTTAAAAAACAAACCCAAATCACAGCCTAGTTATAGGACAGTCAATCTGTGCTTTTTATAACAGATTGAGAAAGCAGATGGGCTTTATAAAACGACTTGAATATCTAAAAACAGCACTATGCTGCCAGAAAACATAAAATGGGGAGTTGTTTTAGGTGCGCTAAGAAGAGCCCTTGTGGTGTAGGGGTACGCGTTCCTTGGGAGAACGGCATGGTTTTCTACACCTGCAAAGTGTTATGATCTCGGAACCCCACGCGGGCAATTCTACCCAGCCCTCTAGGGTCGTTACGAGTCTGAATGAGTTTGAGTTAGGAGGCATAAGTCTTAAGTTCGCTATTGCACCCAAGTCATCACAAACTGCACCCACAATTTGCTCGAACGTTTCATTTAGGAGTTCTTTGGTGGCAGGGCAGATCCGGAATCAGCATGAAACAAAAGTACTACGCAGAGAGGTTCTCCCTCTAGCACAGATCTCCTCCATGTAGGAAGGTAATGTTTGATCACAACTGCGAAATCAGCATGAAAGTCAGACACACATATTTGCAAACTGTCACACTCGTTTTGAATTGAAGAGTTCTGCCAACTGGGGTGAACTGCGGCTTCAAGAACCATGCAGCCCCACTCCTGCACTAACCCTGGAAGCAAACGTAATTTGCTTACCTGTTTTCTAATTCGATCGGATCCGCTTCCGGCGGCTGCACTTTCACCTTCACCTCCGCCATGAGAGGGGCAATCCTAGATTCGTGTTTGTGATCGCTGAATAAACAGAGCCGAATAATCCAGGGGGTGGGGGTGGGGGGGGGCGCCGGCCGGAAACAAGGGGCCTTTTCCCTAGTGTTGGTGCCACACTTTCCTTTTCTAAATGCTTGAGGCGGCCGTGCCACGCCTGCTCCGCATACCACCCACGCGCCTCTCCATCGAATATTCGTTCTCTAGAATGTTCGTGCTCGTCGATGCACAAGCCTGTTCCTTCAGCATCTTGTTGCAGTTCCTAACGGGTCGCTAACTGCAAAGTCAGCAGTTTGAACCCCCTAGCTGCTCTTCGGGAAAAATACCACGCTTTCACCCCAGTGAAGAGTTAAAGTCTCCGAAACCCACGAGGGCAAAGATCCAAAAGGGTTGATATGAGTGAATCCATTCGATGACAGTGAGTTTGGTTTCTTGCAACCTTTGCGCCGGCATCTACTCGGACGCCTAAGCTCAAGTCACGGGAAAAAGCTCCAGGGGGTCCCAAAGACTCCACCCAGCAGCGGGGGCGGAGCCTGTTCCTAGGAAGCCGGTTTCCACCAATCACCTGCCCGCTCTCGGTGGGCGGGGCACGGCACGCAGCGTCCGTGGTAACCCGGCGGCCGCCGCGGAGTGCGTGCGAGGTGAGAGTCCAGACCTGGGACGCTGCAAGGGGGTCCCTCGTGAGGAGGGCCCGGCTTCGGGACGGTGCGAGGAGGAGGCCGTTTCCGCCCACCGCGAGGGTGAGGGCGCCTTCACTTCCAGTTGCTGGCGGCCGGCGGGATTGCACCTGGCCCACCTGGGCCGGGAGGACGGAGGCGGAAATTGGGTGGTGGGCGTCTGACTCCGTGAGGCGGCTTCGGCTTCCCTGGCTGGCGGGCCTCTGGCCCCAACCTTCCGAGGGCAGCTGCTATTGCTGCGCGAACGACTTCCTCCCCCGTTCATTTCTCAGCTGTTTTTGTTTTAACTGCTTGTCACTTGAATGGAATTGCGAGGGTGGGCTAGCCCCCTGTGTCCCACAACCTTTCTGCAAGAGCAAATGCTCCGCTGCTAGTATCTGCAGTTTACGTTTTCGACTTCCCACCCGGAGCTATCCAAGAAAATTCACCCCATACGTTTAGGTATTCCACTTTTGCTAATAGGGTTTATGACAAAACCCAGATTACACAGACGTTCAGAGCGGCATGTGCAATATTTAGAATTAAAAAGAAAGTAGAATTAGACTGTTTGCCTAACTAGAAGTTGATAAATAAGATTATATTGTTGCGGGTTCAAAGAAATAACAGTCACTATAATGTCAATTTAGAAGTCTTCGTTCGGTTATAACCAGACTGCTAGAATCTAAAAGTGATTCTTTGATTGCAGTACCGAGTGGACATTCCAGTCCATCTTTAAAGGCAAATACTTATTTTCCATTCGTCTAGGATTTAAGCAAACAAGGACAAATGCAGAAAGCAAAATTAATGTTATTATTCTTTAGAGTTAGTGAGCGTTACAGGGTACAGCATTGATTATAACATCCTGGTTAATAAAAATAGTAATATCCTGGTTACAACATCAAAAGGAACAACATTATTAATTACAATGTACATTTTAAAATCAATTACTAATGGGACTTTCTGAGATGGAAGGGGGAAGGAGGCAGGTCATTCAGCAATCAAAGATACAGCGTTACAGTGGCTAGTCTGTCTCAATATGACTATAAGTTATTATTCAATGTAATTGAATTGGTGCTAACTTATAGGGACCCTGTGAAACACTGCCGGGCCTGTGCCATCCTTACAACTGTTCTTATGTTTGATCCCATTGTTGAAACCACTGTGTCAAATCCATCTTGTTTAGGGCTTTACTCTTTTTCGGTGCCCCTCTAACAAGATATCTTCCTCCGGGGACTGTTCCCTGACAACATGTCCAAAGTGAGATGAATTCTCTCCATCCTTGCTTCTCAGGAGTACTTTGACTATACTTCTTACAAGACAGATGTGTTTGTTCTTTTGGCAGTTCATGGTAATTTCACTGTTCTTCATAAGCAACATAATTCAAACACATCAGCTCTTTGGTTTTCCTTATTCAGTGTCCGACTTTCACGTGCACATGAGCTTGAAAATAGATGGCTTGGGTCAGGCGCACCTTAGTCCTAGAAGTAACATTCTTGCTTTCCAATACCTCAAAGAGGTCTTGTGTGGCTGATTTATCCAATGCAATATGTTGTTAGAACTTTTTATTATAAGTAGGCCATATTAGATTAATACATACGTTATAGTTGAATAAAACCAAATTTCAAGTAGGCATTGCATGATTGTAGATGGTTCTTGGGGTTTAGAGATTACTTTTATATCCTGAAATCTTTTATGTGTAAAAATTCTGACTCCAACTTGAGGGAAAAGATCAGTAAGTCTTCCATATTGCTAGTTAATGACATAACTATAGTAGATGGAATGGAAGGCTTTCATATTTTTCATTGTTTAGCTCCATGTCAAATTGCTTTCAGCTGAGGGCAGCCTTTCGCAATTTTTGCTTGTTTTTAATAGATTTCAAATGCAAAAATTCTTGGGATAATAATTGCCGAAGACTTAGCTTTCCAGAGGACTGGGTTCTAAGCTAACATATGCTACATGCAGAGTTCATTTCTGTTCCTCTCTTCCCTTTGGGCAAGTGATCATGACAGAGGAGGAACAGAAATGAACTCTGCATGTAGCAGAAGAAAATGGAACAGATAATGATGATTAAGTAGGAACTCAGGTCAGATTATTAGTGTTGATCTTTGTTCTCCCCGACTCCTTTAATTTGCCCATCCCTTCATCCCATTCATTCATGTTTTTATTCCCAGTAGTGAAGTGGCTATTCAGATAATCAAACCTCTACACAAGACCTCAACAACAAAAATAAAGTTGAAGCATAACAGTTTAAAAGTAGTATTTGTAGGAGAGACATGGTGAAAGCTCTCAGCTGGTAACCAACGGTTGGTAAAGTACCTGTAGGTACCCCAGAACAAAGGCCCGGTGATCTACTTCTGAAAATCCAGCCATGGAAAACCTCATAGAACAGAGTTGTACTCTGACACACGTGGGGTCAGCATGATTTGGAAGCAACTTGTGGTCATTGGTTTAATATTTGTAGGTGCTATATTAACAGTATTCACTTTTTCAAACTGTTTTTTTTAAAGTGAAGTGCTAAATTCAGATTTTGTGTTCAAATAGAGATACACATTGGAATTTACTTTCATTCACTTCTTTTTTTAATGTAAGGAGAAAAAAATGACTGCTGGTTCAGTGTGTGTTCCTCAGATCATACCACTACGCGTGCCTCAATCTGGAAAAGCCAAATATGAAATAGACAACAATACACTTTTGGAAATGAGATCAGGTAAGAGTCAAATATGTGTGAAATAATTTGCAATAATATTGTCCTATTCTTTAAACTCTTTTCTGGTTCATTTATTTTTTTTGCCTACTTTTTATGGTCTAGACCTTGGGAAATTTGAAAATCTTCCAACATTTGAAACAGTGCTGAACTTTGATGATTTCTAGCATAATATCTACCTCTTGCTAGATCTCTTTAAAGTGTTGAAAAGCCAGGATGTTACTTTTAGGTCTAAGGTACACCTGACCCATGCCATGGTATTTTTAGTAACCTCATAAACACGTGAAAGCTGGAAATTGAATAAGGAAGCTCGAAGATGAATTGATGCATTTGAATTTGGTGCCAGTGAAGAATATTGAAAGTACCATGGACTACCAAAAAACAAACAAATCTGTCTTGTGAGAAGTACATCCAAGATGCCTCTTTGAGGAAAGGATGGTGAGACTTTATCTCGTGCACTTTGGACATGTGGCTTCATACTTAATCAAGTAGAGGGAAAATGAAAGAGGAAGACCCTTGACAAGATGGATTGACACAGTGGTTGCAACAATGGGCTCAGACATAAAAATATTGGGTGCAGGCCCAAGTGGTGTTTCTGTTGTACATAGGGTCCCTATGAGATGGGAGCAACTCAGTGGCACCTAACAGCACCCGCCACCATCGCTGCCTTTTGTAAGTGCATATACATATGGCAGCTTTGCCTAGACACACCATAGCTAAGGTAGGAAGTTACACACATCCCCAGACTTTCTTAAAGTTCAAAACCCAAAACTCAAGCTCCCTGTCATCAGCCGATTCTGGCCCATAGTAATCCTATAGGACAGGGTAGAACTGCCCATATGGGTTTATAAAACTAACTCATAATGGAAGTAGGAGGTCTCATTTTTCTCCCAAGGAGCACCTGGTGGGTTCAAACTGTTGACCTTGTGGTTAGCAGCCCAGCACAATCCACTAGGCCCTTCAGGGATCCTCCAGCTTCCTCAGGATGCCCATTATTTTACTGGTGTAATGTTTGACCTGCTAACACTGGTCTGCTAGTTAGACATGTTTGAGATTAAATCCTAGCTCTGACCATTTCTAGGGACTTTAGACACATGCTTAGCCTTTCTCTGTCTCAGTTTTCTCATTGTGCCATATGGATAAAAACATTTATAATTTAGAGCCATTGTGAAGATGAAATGAGCTGAATTATATGAGAGAAGCACAAGGTCTTGCATTTAGTAATAGGAAAATAAAATTTAATATTGTTACAGAAATAAATCAGTCATTTCTGAGTAATATTTACAGGCAGGCCCTATGTTACAAATGTCTGACTTATGTGCAACCTGTAGTTATAAAACAGCCCTCATAAAACCAATATTAAAACTTTGTGATACAAGCATACCTTTAAGATATTGCAGGTTCGGGAAACGATTACAAGAATCTAGATGTGACCACTTCCCTGGGGGACGGACAACAGAAAAGTGGGTGAAGGAAGACATCGGACAGGGCAAGATATGACAAAATAATA